AGGAGAAGTGGTTAGAATTTGCTTAGAGGATTTGTTTTATCTTATCTGTTGTGGCCAGCAACGAGATAGGAGATGCGAATGTAGGATACTAAATGCGATAGTTATGAAGAAAATGTGTAAGAAAATTAACTTAAGTTGCGGAAGAAATCGGATGAGTAACAGAACGCATTTTTTGAAGAATAAACAGAAATCCGAAGAAAACAATTTCAAAATGATTCTTGTAACTATAAAGGGAAGTATGACGTATACGTACCCACTCCCCCTCCCCTTTTTAGGAGGGGGAATAGCTGAACTCATCCGAAGATAGGCTGCCTACGTACCCTTTTCAGGGATCAAGCTGTCTCGTAATTCAGGGTTGACAGGTGATGCCGCCTAATGATAATATTTCTTCAGATGCATCGTGTTCCAGGATCTCGGAATCGGGGCTCCTTCCATGTTTTCTAGCTCATAGACTCTGGGTCGGATTACCTTGGTGATTTTATAAGGTCCTTCCCAATTCGCTCCTAGCTTTCCTGCGTTCCTTTCCACGGTGCTCTGAAAAACTTTCTGCAGTACCAAGTCATCTTCTTTGAACCGTCGACTTCAGACATTCTTGTTATAATATCTCGCCATTGCCTGCTGATAATTTTGAAGTCTTATCAATGCTTGATCGCGACATTCGTTCACTAGGTCCAGCTCGTCCAACATCATTAGATGGTTTAAGCCTTCTTATCCGAGGAGAAGTCTTCGGCGAATTCCTGGGAAATCTACTTCGGGCGGAATAACGCACTCTGCTCCGTAAACTAGGGCAAAGAGGGTCTCTCTTGTAGCTCGTCTCGGAGTTGTTCGGTGAGACCATAACACTCCCTTTAACTCGTCTACCCAATGTCCTTTTTTAGCGTTGAGCCGTTTCTTCAGCCTGTCGAGAATCGTCTTATTAGCTGCTTCGGCTTGACCGTTTCCTTGTGGGTATCTCGGTGTCGACTTGCTCAATCGTATTTTCCATTTCTCACAAAAAGCTTCAAACCGAGCCGAGATGAACTGGGATCCGTTTTCTGTAACAATCTCGTAAGGGAGCCCATGTCGACAGATGATATTCTTCCAGATGAAATGCTCGACTCGGGCGTCTTTAATGCTCGCATAAAAAATCAGCCTCGACCCACTTGGAAAAATAATCGGTTAGAACCAATAGGAATCGTTTCTGTTTAGACTTGTGAAAAGGTCCGACGATGTCCATTGACTACCTCATAAACGGATAAGGAGCCGAGATTGATGATAAAAGCTCGGTAGGCTGATGGATGGTTGGGGCGTGCCTCTGGCATTTTTCACACTTGACGGAGAACTTCTCGCAATTTTTCACCATGGTTGGTGATAACACCGTATTTTGACCACTTATATGGATCGTTTTGAAATACTTTTTCTATGTTTTTAATTGCTTTTAAGTACTTTTATCACGTTTTTCTAGTATTTGTAGTTCCAAGACTCTTTTCAGGTAACTTAGGGAAAAGCTTAACAAAATGGATAGAAGACCAGATTTCAGCTCAGAGTCAAACCGTCAGAAGTTCACCCCCGATTGAAGGCCTTCTCACCGTCTGATCCAGCTCAAATTTGGAGATCTCAAAGATGGAAGTATCTGCTTTCCAGCACACTTTACATCTTGGCAATCCAACGGTTCAATCAAAAGATACGCGAAGAGCAAGATGTCCCGTAAACCAGCCGGCAAGCGTTTCCACCCGCGACCAACAGGCCATTCCCCGCGGTCATAGCCATCCCGACTACGGCCAGCCACCCATTCAACGCGGTCACGCACATCCCGACCGCGGCCACCTAACTCCGAGTTTGAAGGCCCATTTCTGAAGCCGGTATCATTTTCCCAGCCTCAATTCCGGAACCCTAGACACCAGAGAGTATTGGAGACTATAAATACATATCATTTAGGACGTTTTTGAGAGAAGAAGAGGAGTGACGAAATACTTTACACAAATTTTACTTTTAAGCTTTGTTTTTAGGTTTTAGGGAGAGAGAGATCTATCTCTTGAACCCTTGTTCTTTCTTTTTCAATTTCGGTTTCTGTACTACTTTTTATTACTATGTTTTTGATTTCGTTTATCATGTCTGAGTAGTTTTATTGTTGGGTCTAAGGGATTTTCGATGGGAATATATATGTTCGATGAAGATTCCATGAGCTATTGAGCCAAATCTTAGAACTTTTTCTTCTGAATTCGTTTTTACTGCATGAAAGTAGCGTCATGAACTGCAATCTGATCCAGATGCTTGGTGACACGAAAGTGTTCATCCGGTGTCAGATCTAGTTTGGGAGAGCAAAACAAGCATAGGAGTGGAAACCTACCTATGGGCGATTTGTGAATGCTGACGAGTCTTAAAAATAATACACCTCTTCTTTTCCAGGGCCAGAGTGGAAACCTACTGGTCAGGGTTGAGAGAGATAGTTGTCTATGATCACGACAGTGGCGTATTCATACGTCCGTGACTCCAGTTCGAAAAATTTAAGCTAAGATCTTATCAAATTTACTCTCTAGCAATGTTTTGAATCGTTCATACCCCAGAGAAAACTTTCCTGAACCCCAATGCTTTCTTTCTTATAGATTTACACCGATTTTCATTCAAACTTTAGTTTATTATCTTTACTCTTTCAATCGATTTTCACTTAGCAATTAGGTCTAGCCGTTTTTTTCGTTTTTACCCGTTTTCGTTAAGTTTAGTTATTAGGTCATTTTAATTCCCGTATTCTCTCTTTAAGATTCGTTTTTACATTTTAAACACACCACCAAAACCCTCACAAAACTCGCCTAGTTCTAGACTTCCTTACTTTATATTTCTTTCGAAGGCTTTTGCAGGAAAAAATCTCCTTCCCTGTGGATTCGATCCCTAAGTACTACAATCGATCAGCTGTGCACTTGCGGGTATTGATTTCATTTAGGGTAAAACTTGACACCCTCACCACACGACCACATCAGTTGGCCAGTAGTAACCGTTTCGTTTTATCTTGATCGCTAAAGATCTTTCGCCCGCATGGTTGCCACATGCGCTACTATGTACTTCTTCTGTGATCTTCCTCGCCTCAGCTCCTTCGACACATGTCAATAATGGTCCCAAAAACTGCCACTTGAATACGTTTCCATCTAGGAGTGCATAACGGGCTGCTTGAGCTTTGAGTTTCCGAGCTGCCCACTTGTCTGATGGTACTTCTCCGTCTGCGATGTACGTCTGAATTGCTCTCATCCATTCTTTGTCGCTCCCCTACTCTGTTGTTTATCGGGAAGCATCCTCGTCCATGTTGGCTACGCCGTTGTCTTCGTTGATCTTTTGCTCTTCTTTGGAAGGGTTGATCAGGTTGACTCCGTCTACAACGCCGATGCTGGGTTTCTCGATAAATTCCACCGGTATGACCCTCTTCAATCCTGGATCCGAGGTTGAAGCGAGGGCAGCTAGGGCATCGGCGGACGCGTTTTCCCCCGAGGTATTCGTGTAAGCTCGAATTCCTTGAACTGCTTCGTCAACTCTTGAACTACTTTCAGATACGCTTCCATCTTGCCGTCTCTCGCTTCGTATTCTCCATTGAACTGGTTCGCAACTAGCTGTGAATCACAAAAGTCATGGATTATCTGGATTCAGATCCCAAGTTGCCAGCCAAAGTCCGGCGATTAATGCCTTGTATTCTGCTTCGTTGTTGGATGCATGAAACGTGAGACAAAATGACTGTTCGATGATTTTGCCGGTTGGCGATGTTAGTCGTATCCCTACCCCCGAACCCTGCTTCGATGACGAACCATCAACATGCAATGTCCATGTAGACTCGGAGGTCGGCTCTTCTACTCCTTCAGTTGGAAGTTCGATCAAGAAATCGGCTAATACCTGAGAATTTGCGCACGACCTGTTCCTGTATTCGATGTCGTATTCACATTAGCTCCACCGCCCATTTCGCTAGTCTTCCAGATTGGCTCGGGCTATGTAGGATGCTTCGTAGTAGCATAGTAGCGAGGACTGCGATCGAGTGCGACTGGAAGTATGGTCTCAGTTTCCAAGCTGACATTACGACAGCTGGGGCAACCTTCTCTATTTGCGGATAACGCGTTTCCGCCTCGGTTGAACTGTGGCTCACATAGAAGACAGGTTTTTGCTCTCCCCGCTCTTCTCTGACCAGTACTCCACTTACAGCAGTTGACGACACGGCGATATACAGGAATGGCGGTTCTCCTTCCAATGGCTTCGCAAGGACCGGAGGATTAGCCAAGTAGACTTTCAGATCTTCGAATGCCTTTTCACACCGTTCGTCCCATTCAAATTTCTTATTGCCCCTAAGGGTATCATAATAAGGTAGACATTTGTCGGTCGACCTGGAAACAAAACGGTTGAGAGCTGCTACGCGTCCTGTCAATCGTTGGACTTCTTGTTTCGTCATTGGAGATGCCATTTCTATCAACGCTTTGATTTGCTTCAGATTTGCTTCGATTCCTCGATGGGTTACGAGGTATCCGAGGAACTCTCCAGACGTCACCGCGAATTGACACTTCGCCGGATTCAGCTTCATGTTATGCAGGTTCAGCTGCTCGAAACAGTCTTGCAAATGCTTCACGTGATCCTTCTCCTCGAGCGACTTAACCAGCATGTCATCTATATAAACCTCCATCGTCTTGCCAAGCTGTTCCGCAAACATTTAGTTGACGAGCCTCTGGTAAGTCGCACCCGTGTTCTTGAGTCCAAAAGGCATCACCTTGTAGCCGTAAATTCCCCGATCTGTTATGAACGCTATTTTTTCCCTGTCGTCGGGGTTCATGAATATCTGGTTGTACCCCGAAAAAACATCCATGAATGTGAGCAGTTTGTTACCCGCCGTTGCTTCGACTAGTCGGTCGATATGAGGTAGCGGGAAACTGTCCTTCGGGCACGCCTTATTAAGGTCAGTAAAATCTACGCACACACGCCATTTACCATTTTTCTTCTTTACCACTACGGGGCGAGCCAATCTTGGTATTTGGCCTCGGAGATCGAACCCACCTTTAAGAGTCGTTCACTGCCTTGGCTCGGTTGGGACCTAGCTTTCTCCTCTTTTGCTTCACCGGTTTGAACGTCGGGTCTATGTTGAGCTCATGGCACGCCATGTCGATGCTAATTTCGGGCATATCTTCTGCAGTCTATGCAAATTTTCCAAAGTTCTGTTTTAAGAAAACGACAAGCTCCGCCTTAATCGCCTCATCAAGTGTCGCTCCGATCTCTACGCACCGCTCCGGATGTAATTCGTCTATGCATACCGAGATCACCGGTTCACAGCTCGGCACGCTCTTCTCCTTACACGCCTCACCAATATGTAATTGCCATAAGAGCTTGGCGAGCTCGTTCGCAGGTTCTCGGTTCGTCTTTAGCTTTTTCCGGTTTTTGTCTGCGACCGAGTCTACCACGGGCTTCCTCATCTTATGCTCGGCCAAACAACACATACGCGACTCTTTTTGGTTTCCCCATATCGTCTTGATTCCGCCAGGAGTCGGGAACTTGACGCATAAATGATATGTTGATGGAACGGCTCGCATCGAGTTCAACAACAGCGTTCCCACGATTACGTTGTAAATTGCTGGATGATCAGCTACGAAAAACTCTACAACTTTTGTTACTCCTTCTCCTTGCACGGGAAGCCTGATCGTCCTGATTGTCATCGTTGTTTCCCCTGAGAATCCCGTTAATGGCTTTGGGATGGCAGTTACTTTGGACAAATCGATTTCCATCCTCCTAATGGTTTTACGGAAGATAATGTCTACCGAGCTTCCCGTATCGATTAATATTCTGGCGACATCGTGATCCCTAATGGTAAGCTCGATCACGAGGGGATCCCTATGTGGCGTGTCGATTCGCACTGTTTCGTCTTCCGAAAACGAGATTGTGGTAGCGGGATAGCTCGGAGGCTCCGCCCAGTTAACACTTGCATTGGCCCTCCGCTGGAAAGCTTTAATCGACGATACGGTGTCGAGACAGTATTGCGATCCACCCATTATCATATTGATCGTTCTTCTGGGGCCATCTCGCGGATCCTCGTTATTCCTTCTTCCTCGCTTTTGGGCTTTACCTTGGTTTCCTTGCTCTCGGTTCGGGGGGGGGGGGGGTTAACTTCATCACCTTCTCGCTTCTCGTCTTCAGGTTCCTTGGCAGCTGCGGTTTCTTTGGGTTCTCCTGCCGTTCGCTTTGCGACGAGTCTGGCGGCCAAGAACTTACAGTTTGCTGTTGAGTGCCCGTAGCAGTGGTGGTGTTCGTAGAATGCTTTTTCGTCATAAGTACGGGGGTTTCGAGTCCAAGTGTTCCATGGTCCTTTGCCTCGTCCTGCTCCCACTTGATAATTGTGGGCTCCTTGTAGCCTCGGCCCTTCGTGATGCACATAATCATTGGTTCTCAGATTCCTTTGACGCATTGTCAAAGAATTTCAGATTGCCGCTTTGTTTGACTCGTACTGCTCATCTAGGTTCTTCATCTCTTCTTCATTCACGAAAAAGTTGGCAGAGCGATGTAGAGCATCTTAGATCATGAGCGGCGTGTTTAACGCCATTTCCCTCCGGAACTCGGACTTATACCATAGTGATCTTTTCAGGGCTTTGATGGCTGCCTTGTCACTCACTCCTTCCACCTTTGACACCATCGCTTTAAACCGAGCCATGTAAGCTCTCAATGGCTCGTTTGGTCCTTGAGACAAAGTCCATAGATTGGCATCAGAGGTTCCTCGGCCATGAACATGGAGTACTATTTCAGAAAAACGGCAGACATCTGCTGAAAATTATTAATGGAGTTACGCTCAAGCCTCGAGAACCATTCCAATGCTGTGCCATTCAGGTGTTAGACAAAGAGGAGGCAGAAACCGGCATCTCTTTTGTCTTCGCTGAGATTGGGAGCGTTTCTCAAGAAGGCTCATCCCATTCTAATCCGAAAAGCTGTGATGTATGCCTTCGGGTCGGTTGTCCCTTCGTAGAAAGGAATTCTTATCTTTCCCGGTTCAAGGATCCGAGCTTCGGTGATAAGCGCCGTGAATGGCGTACGCTGCGTTTCTTCCAACATACGATCTAACTCCGGTGCCAAACTGATTGCATGACGAACTTGGGATCAGACTGCCTTCATCTCGGCGGCTGTCCGAGCTATGATAGCTTGGAGCTCGTTCATCTCCTTCATCTGGTTGTTCTTTCGCGGCTCGTCGACTTCATCTTTGATACTAGCACTGTGTAGAGCGGCTCGGCGTCCACTGCCGCGTTGATTTCCTTTTCATGCCAAGCTATCATGTTTCATCTGCTCGACCCAGAGCAAATTTTCCTCTTCCTCCGTCAGGTTTTGATTTTGGAGCGCGGCGTCATCTTCTTCGTTCGTCCTTACTCCTTCCAACGCCTCTTCGAGTTTGGCTCGGGTAATACGTCCTGAAGCGCGGCTCGGTTGAAGGACGAGCTCCTCTTCTTGGTCGTCTTCATCATTGACAGTGATTGTCTCCTTACCGATATCTCCTGGGGCATCACCATCATTCTGCTGGTCGTGCTTGTCGCCGTTTGCTCTTCTTCTCCAAGCTAGCAGAGGTGGTTCGGTCGGTGTGGACTTCTTCACAGCGGGTGTCACCAAGCCAGACGGATTTTGCTGCGCTCCTCCTAGCCTGTTTGCGGGAGTCGCGAATTCGAGGGCGGTTGGTCGCAGGCCGAACCTTCGCAGGATATCTCCGGAAGTTCCCGTCACTCCAAGGTGTCGGTTCCTGATTCGGTTCTCTGTTGTCAACGCTTCGAGTCTCTCCGCGAAAGAGCTATTCTGCTTTTCTTGCATGTTAAACTTTTCCATCATTTCTGCGAGCATCTTCTTCACCTCGTCTAAGGGTTCGGCTGTTGCGCCTGCATCCGTCGGAGGAGGATTCTCCTTGCTTCGGGTAGGATCTCCGCCGTTGTTCTGGTCATCTCTCCGTTCGTCTCCGGACATCTTTTCGGATCTCGTTCAAGAAAGTTTTCAGTGTAAGAAAGCTTTATTTCCCCACAGACGGTGCCAAATTGTGTGAGTTGAAACTCGAAAAGTACAAAGATCGAAAAGTAGTTTTATTGTTTAGGGTTTCTGTGATTGCGTAAAAATTACATAATGAAAGAATTACATCGACTATTAATACTAAGTCTACAAACCGCCTAGCCGAGATTCTCTCCCGAGATTCTCGGAAATCTTCCTATTCTTTTGTGCGGCTGACGACTCCGATATCTCCTAGGGTAAAATCTCTTGAGCTCGTTCATCAGGCCTTTGCGACTATTTGGTTCGGCCCATTAGCACTTTCGACCCTTCGGCTCGGCCCATTCTCTTTTGACCCAATTCACTTCTCGTTTACGGGTGATTCCTTGGCTCAGGTACGCAGGAAAACTTTCTGAACCGAGACCGGCTCGGTTCGGTTTTTCGCCTTCCCTGGTTCGGCTCGGTCAAATCGAGCCTTTGATACGGCTCGTTTGGCTGAACCAGCAGTTGGTATTTGGTTTGGCTCGGTTTACTATGTTGGTTGCGTTCTGGTTCGATCCTTTGGTAAATCGTAGAATTGGGCTTTCCGAAACCCAATCTCGACACTTAGTCTTTTTTAGGCAGTTAAACTCGTGGGGGTGAAAACCGACCCCAATAGTCATGCGAGTTGGTTCGGACCTGCCCAGGCCGCACAAACGTTCGCGGTTTATACCATGTTGGACGTGCGGGTTTGTTCAAAGTCCAGCCAGGTCGCAGCATAAAAGAAGAGGCCAGAACGTGCAAGAGAGTTTTGTGCGACTTGGGCGTGCGAGACGGTCAACACCAAGTCCCAAGTCGCACAAACACTCGCGATTTACACCGAGATGAGTATGCGGGACAGCTCAGAGACGGCCTATGTCGCACAACAAAAGAAAGGGGCCAAAGCTTTAAGAAGACTCTTGTGTGCGACTTGGGTGTGTGAGACAGGAAGGAAATGGTCCCAAGTCGCACAGATACTCGCTGAACACACCGAGTTAGTCGCGCGGGATGATCAGGCCGAGTCCAGGTCGCCCAAGAGATCAAAATGGGTCTGGTCAACAGAAAAAAGAAGGAGTCAAAACTTGACTGGTCAAAGTGGATCTATTGACCAAAAGACAAAAGCATGCACCTAGTCCCACATTCTCTCTTCCTCAAGAAAAATCGAGTTTGCTTTCTAAAACCCATTTTCTCCATTGTTTCATTCATAACTCTCTCATTACTTCACCAAATTCACTGATTCAAAGTGTTCTGAGCTCGTTTTTGAGTTGGTAATCTCATCCTGTAATGATTTCGAACTCATTGCATCATAATCCCAAGGTATTCACTCTGTTAAAACTTATCTCTTTCCATGTCTTTAGATGGTTATTTTGGGCTTCATTGTGTGGAATCGATTTTAATAGGTTGTTAGAGACCTTTGCATTATTTTCATAAATGCTAGGTGCTAGATTATCATGTAAAACAGAGCTTTTTCTTGGTGATTCATTGTTCTTGAGTTTTGCATATTGTTGCAAGATAATTCATTGAAAAAATCAATTTTTCCTGAAAAAGAGATGAACTTATTTCTTCCTGAGTCCTTTCTTTGCACTCTTGTTTTTGCATTGCTGTGAATTTATTGGACTGATGCTTAGCTTGAGGAACTTGTTCATGTTCTTTAGAAATCGGTTTTTGCAACAATTTTACAAAAATTTTGAGAGCTTTTAGAACTTGTTCTTGTGCGCACTGGTTTTTGGAAATTTTTTTGCAGATGACTGATAGAACCAAGGCCATTGCTCGCATGAAGAAGAGTCTTGCATCAAAAGACAAGAGCTTGGTCTCAGAATCCTCAAGGCCAAAAGGAAATGGAAAAAGCACCAAAAAGGGTACAAAGCAAGGAAAAGGTGAACAAGTGCCAAAAAGAACAAGGAATGAGGAGAAATCTCTCTTGGTTGCTTCTAACCCCAAGAAGAAAGGAAAACAATTGGATGTGGTCTCTAATGATGAACAGACTGAAAGTGGTTCAAGCAGCTCAGCTGGGGGTTTTCAAGGTGCCATTCAAGAGGCAGCTAAGAGGGCTAAGAAAAGCGAACCAGAGAGTGCTGACTACTTGGCCAAGTTTCAACAGATAGGGATCCAGCAAGGGTGGGTCCATGATGAGGAATTTTTGAAGAAGATTGGCATCTATGAGGATGTCAAGAATTTTCTTGGGAACATGGGAATTGAGTCACTCTTGGAACTGAGAGAAATAGCCTATGAAGAGTAGTCTCAAGAGTTCTTGGCTTCTTTTGATGTTAATATGTACATGCCAAGGGATCCAAGAGTGATTCAAAGACAAGGTCTCGGATTTATAGAGTTTCAGGTGAAAGGAAAGGTCTACACGGTAACATTCAGGGAGTTGACGTAGATATTTGGGTTCTCTGCACTTGAAAACACACCTTTCTCCAACAAGATTGGTCTTTACAAGGAAGAACTTCAAGCTTTGTGGGGATCAATTGCATTTGGGAAGTACACAGCTGGAGTAGCTAAGGTTTCTTGGATAAGAAGCCCTGTGCTAAGATATGTTCATAAGATCCTTGCTCACAACTTCTATTTCAAGCTTGATGTTGGGAGAGTCCACAAAGGTGATCTGAACCTCCTTGGTGTGGGACTGAAACCGTTGATGCCAACTTATGAGAATGGAAAGCATTATGAAGGATATCTCACAAACCTTGCCTTGCCTCTCAACTAGCAAGAGCTTTGATGACTTACAAAGAGACCATTTGGGATTCAAAGAAGAAGGATGTGAAGCTGATCCATGGTTGGTTGGTGACAAAGATTCTGAAGGCAAGGGGATACAGGTTTAAGGAGATTAAGGCAAGGTTTGATCTGATTAATGAGGCACATCTATGCAAGATTGGATTCTTGAGTTGGCAGCAAGCTGGCTTACAACTTCAAGAATTTCATAGATGAACCACTCCAAGTCCTTTTACCCAATCCCTCCCTCATCACAGTCCAAGTAAAGCGCAATATACACTTCTATTTGCTGAAGGAAGAGCTCTACAATGTTCAA